TTCCACTGTCAAAGATATGTTGCTAAATATTATTCCTCAAATTTCCTTGATAAGGATTGGTCTCAATTCAGGACTGAATTCTAAAAGGAKCTGCAAAAATTGAAATGAAGAGTCCTATTGAAATACCTTCTGCTAAAATTAAGTCCAGCACTGAAGGAGATGTGAATGCCACCTTAAGACTTTTGTCTTAAAATGCATTTCCGGTATTGTCACAAAATTCAATTTCATATAAGCGAAAATTTTTGTGGTAGAATTTTGCTCTCTCAAAAGCAGCCCTGTTGATAAGACAAAAAAATGACCTCTCTGTCATTTCTGGCACATGAAATCTGAAAGTTCACATGGACCATGAACATTCCCTTCAGCAGCTTTGGACTCACCCTCTGTAATTCAAGGCCAGGTCAGCAAAGAGCTCCCTCCGTTCATTGTACTCCAGGTCAGCATATCCCTGAGTTGGAAAATAATTTTTAAAAAATTACATTCTGAGAGATCTGTAGGCATAAGTAAATGTGCTAACAGAAGGTCTCACGAGAGTTGTTCTCTCTGAGGCCCAAGTCTGCAATCAGTCATATCTGTGAGCTTTGGGTGAAAATGGGGACCAGAAAGGAAAGTAACGTGAGTGGCTGTGGAGATTTTGGAATTCATCAACACTGCAGTGCAGACCATGACATTTACAGTCAAATTTAGATGTGGGTCACATTAAAAATGGGATGGAAATAGGGATGTGGTTTSCAGTGGGGAAGAGAGGAATCTGAATCTCTTCCTTCCTGTGCTGAGCACSAAGGGCTGTGATGGGTGTGGTGGCACCAAGCTGGTTCCACCTCACCAGAAAAGGTCCCTTTTGGGCAAAGAATGGGCCCTCACTGGCTGGAAATGCTCAGAACCATGGCTGGATCTGTAGGCAGTGCAGACTCTRTCCCCCTGCCCATTTATCACTATGTTTTCAAAAAGACAGACTCAGTGGTCTCTGCTTAAAGGGGAACTTTACCTGCTGAATACCAGAGTTTTCTTTCTGCTCGTTCTATGTTTGCTAGAATTGAAACTTTGAATATGCATACAGATGGGGAACCACATTCCTTTTAATTTTACATCATTCATAACAGGCATTAAAACTAAAATCTGGAAYGGCCTGCTAATAGAACTCATAAAACAGCGTTGATCAGCATCACTGTAAAAATATTTATTATTCTAAAATATTCAGGACTTACTGGAACTACTTTTCATCCTGCAAGCCAAATTTGTCCCTTAGGTTTCTGCACATAATTTTGAGTGCAGCAATAATAGCAGTAACCCCAAGTTAATGAGTGCTGAGAGTGTCAGTCTGAGGGAAGGGCTGGATCCTGAGATGTTTATTTTGTTGTGTGCTGTGGATAATACAATTTAKTGTATTAATTTATTAATTAATTTATTTATTAATTAAATATATTATTAATTAATTTATTCAGGTGCCARCCTTGCTTGTCAGTGGCTGTGACAAGTCCATGCACATGGAAAGCTGTTGGGCCAGACTCACACARATGCTGTGACATCTCAACTTTGTCCCAGCTTCTGTTCCCTGGGTTCTGGACCCACCCTCTGGGCAGCAGGAGCCTCCCTGGGGCTCAGAAATTGGTGTCACAGTCACACCAGTTTAAATTTTTTTTTTTTTTTGGCTGGTAAAGAGACAGCAAGTAACAAACTGAAGGTGTGCAGGTAAACAACCCAAACTGTCTATTTGGCAGTAAATGTACATGCAAAATCTTTGCTGAGCTGTCTGTACATCAGCTTTTTCTGTGCTTTCCTCCAGCCTCTGCATTTCAGAGCCCTGGTAAATCAGCCTATGCTTGTGCTCTCTCCTGACACAGACAAGCAGTTCTCAGTGCCTGAGGTAACTTGTTTTCAATTTGTTGGGTATTTCTAAATTACACTCCATTCTGCAATTTAGATTCATCCCCTCTCAATACTTCGGTAACTCTGCACCACTGCTGCTTTCTGTCATCCTCTTCAATGTTCACACCTTGTGTCTGAAAAAGGAGGAGGGCAGCTTAGTCCAGCTCCAAGAATTCCCAATGTGTGCTCATTTATCTAATGAGAAACAGCCCAGGAGTTAGCTCAGGAAAATTACAAATACTTGGGCTGTTTCTAGGAGAAACAAAGAAGGAAAAATGAAAGATGTCCTCTGGTTGTGGAAGACATGAAGCTCTCCTAGAGTGTTAGAGTTGAATAAGTGATTCTCAAAAATAAAAGATAGATTTGGAAAGTTCTATTTCATAACACACAAACTGCATGCAGCTCACAACAAATCATTGTGTACGTTAATGAGAGGGTCTGAATAGAATTCAGACACCTAGAGAAGGGAATAACAAAAACTTTCATGTGGATTCTATTGACACACAGCTACATCTTCACAGCATTTCTAAGTGCAAAGTTTGGGGTTTTTTCACCTGTCCATGGATCATTTCTATGCCTGGCAGAACCCAACGCTTCTGTGACCTGCCCTGTCGAGTGACAAATGTTCTTTGGGGTCCCTTTGGTGTTTGTGCCAAACTCACACCTCATATCTACTAAAGCTGGGAAACTTGGATGAGAAACAAGTGTTTGTTTTTTTGTTTGTTTGTTCCCAAGACTTTGCCTTTACAATTGATGCCTTAGGATTTTTTTAGCCTCTATATTTTCATGCTTAGAGGAAATGTTCATTCCAGAGCGTTTTCTCCTAAACTTGTCTCTAATCCCAGACAAAATTGCCCACTTCTGAGCTTTTCCTGCTCAGAGGATGTCACCCTGTTTTAGCCCAGCCCTACAGGAGATGAGTGCTGCCCCAGGCTGGGTTCCTCTGCTGGGATGTGCTCCTGAGTGATTTTATCTCCAGTGAAACAGGCTCTCACAAACACCAGGGMCACATCTTTCCCCTGGATGGCAGGGCAAGCTCCAGAGGGATTCAGATCTGCTTCCCTTCCCTTATACTCGACACCAGCAAACCTTTTTCTGGAAATGAGCACCTCTATCTTCACAGCCCAGGTTCCAGAGTGCCAGGCCCTGTGTGAAGGGCATCCTGCAGCTGCAGAGATAACCCCATCCCCATGGCCTCCCTTTGCAGATGGAGCCATTTATTCTGTTTATCCCTTGGCTTACCCTGGCTCGGTCTGACCCCCAAGTGCTGTAGGGCTCTTCCTTGGCCAGAGAACACGATTTTGTTCTCCAGGGATCATGGCAGCACCATGGGCCAAGACAGAGCACTGGGAAGGTCTTGATTTCCTCATCTCTTTCCCAGGATGAATTTCGCAGCACCGTGGCCTGGAGGCAGATCACAGCATCCTGAGGAATGCTGGCTGCTCCAGAGCTCGGGGGCAGTGGGATTTGTGGGGTGTGGCGAGTGCCAGCCTGGGCAGAGGGGTCCCCACGGGGCCATGGGATGGGACAGACCATGCAGGACACATCCCTGACACACCCCAGCACCCTGCAGRCCTGGCTGGTGTCCCAGGGGACACAGAGGGGAAAGCCCTTAGGGCTCCAGCTGAGTGTTTGTGACARTGGTCACCAACCCTGGCAGGGCAGGGACATCATGGTGCTCCCRTGGCTGTGTTTGTGCTGCAGTGCTGGAGCCCCAGCTCTGTGTGTTTGCACAGCTTTTGGCTGCTTTTACAATCATGAGGCAGACATGACCGAAAGGGTAAAAGGGTTTTACCTTTCACCTTGGGTATTTTGTATGATCCAGAGTGCACAGCTTATCCGAGTGGAACACACCGAGGTGCTGCCCCAATAGAACGCCGATACAATTTTTTTAAACCTCGCAAATCAGCATTTCTGTCTAGAATCCCCCAATAAAAAACTTCATAAATGAAGTAATGTTCCCGTATTCTAAAGAATCTCCCCCAGATGAGGCCAGAGCCCAGTTTACACAAAATTCCAGAGCGAAGGCTTCACCCAAGGTTGAAACCTYRAGTTTTGAGATAGCCCAGGGCTCACCCTACTGAGGTTGTTTGGTC